TATATAAAACATTTTATATTCTTATGTATATATAACATTTTTTCATTTTATTATAGTTTGTGAGAAATATCCATAAAAATTTATGATTTTGTCTCCTATCAGACTGTCTTTTTTAGAGTAAAGAGAAACATTAAAAGTTAATTTAAAGTTAACATTTGCAATAAAAATTTTGTTTTACAGATTGGTAAAAATCTAAATTATATCTAAAAAATGGGTTTTAAAGAAAGCTAATCCACTGTAGCACATTTATTGTGGCCCATATTCAACATTTTGGCTCAGTGAAGTATCTTTGTAACTTTACAGGTAATGTGTTTGCCTGTGCTGGTAACACTAGAAAAACAAAGTTTTATATTTGACAATTCCTTGTTTTCTTTTTTAAAGTGTGTCATTTCTATTTTAATTCAATTGATTCAATAATAAATATGTATGAAACGTTACAGGATATACAAATACTCATTATTAGAGATAAATTGTCTTCAAAATAAGGCCCCTTAGTGTTTAGCCTACATGGAATGAACTGGTTGTTTGGCTTTGATCATGCAAACCCACTTGACTTGCTCATGAGTGCATCATGAGATTTTTCATTTAAACAATGGGCTCTACTCTGGCGACTGGCAAAACTGGGTCGTCAAGGTGTGCGAACTGAAGCTGCAGGATGTTCATGGTGCCCCGAGGAGTTTTGTCAAGGGGGGAAATAAAAGGAAAAATAAATTGTAAAAAGAAAAGATGTATTGATAATTTTACAATCATTAATGTGTATGCTCAAAGTCAGTATTTTGCAGTGGTTTGCATTGTAGATGCTATCATGCACTTCCGATTCATTGAAATACACTTAATCTTAACAGTGTTCATATTTAACTGCTTCAGCTGTGCTGTGCTGTCATTCAGACACCCGGCAACATTACATATTGCACTTTAAAACAAAAAGAAAATTAGTTTATAAATATATTTGTATATAAAACCCAACAAAAAAGCAAATGTAAAGGACCAAAACTATAGACTTGAACACAGACCGGAAAAAGCTAAGTAACAGTAAAAAGATCAATAGGAGCTAAATGTCACAATCTTGAGGTCTAAAGAGGGGAAACAGGGTGAGGAGGGGATCCTGTTCTTTGCTGCAGGGGCTTATGTGTGCTACCGTGTGAGAGTCATCTGACTTTAGAGGTGATTAACATGTGATTTATATCTTTATCTTATCTCTCATCTGTAACCTCAAGTTTAAAGATTGATATCACAACAAAAACATCATAGCAAAAATGCTCACGTGTTTGCATGCTCTGCAACTTCTTTCATGTTCTGCCTTCCTACAGAATGGTCAAAGAGACTCAGCACTAAAATAAGGGTTACACTTATAACAGATCTGCTGCTTTTGTTGCTGCTGCAGATATTTGGGGCTGTAATGCTGCATAGTCAGAGAGGCAGCATGAATACTAATAGATGTGATTCAGCTTAGCAGAAGAAAGTTTCAAGTGATTCATGCAATCAGACCACATGCCATCTTCTCAATAACACTTCTTGTTAGGAAGCTGCAAAGTGTGCTGTATGATTAATAACTCAGTTTTTTCATACATCAGTTTAAACCAACATGAATCAGTTCAACCTGCGTAAAAAATCATAAATCATGACAAAGGATTCTTTACAAAGTATGTATTGATTAAATGGAAATGTTTAACCCCAACCCTAACACTGTACCTTTTCCCACAGTGTGTCTGAATGATAAAATTATATTTCAATTGATGAAGGCATTAATGTCAAATTAAAAGTCATCAAATGCAGGAAAGCATGAGAGCTAAAAAAAATATGTTACCGCTAATCAAGCCTTACTCAAATTAGATTTAGTTATTTGAAAAGTGAATCAAAACCAAAAATTGAAAGTGTCATTTTTCGTGTATTTTGGTTATTTGTGTCTTAGATCAGACCTAGTTTCTTCCCCTTTGGTTATAACTTATTATTATGTTTTGTTTTCTGTGTCTTGGGATTCTTGTGTTTACCTGATCATTCTTATGTTCAGTTTTTATTCTCAGTTTAGATCTGTACCAGCCAGTATCGTTAGATTTGTTTTAGTATTGTTTTGTTCAACTCCAGTGTTTCCTGTCAGTTTTCATTTCATGCTCAGTCAGCTTCCACAGTGTTTGTTCTTAGTCAGTCTGCCACTCTCACCTGTTCCTAGTCTCCAATCAGTTCAGTTGTTTCCAATATCTAATCTTCTCTATATATTCAGTCTTCAGCATTCACCATATCAGCAGTTCATTACTGGCCTACATGCCACAATTTTCAGTCTTCCTTGTGCTAAGCTTTTGCTGCCACAACAGTCTTTTGTTTTTGTTTATTAAAACATTTTGTTTAATTCAAGTTCCTTTTGTTGTTCTGCATTTTTGGGTCCAAATCCTCCACTGATCTTGAAGTCTAAATTGAAATGCACTGTAGTTCTAAAAGATATAGAGGAAGAAGTAAATTTGAGCGGGGCGATAATTAAAATGTTTGATGATGAGAGAAAGAGATGGAGAAAAAAGTAGGGGAAAGGTAAACTGCCCCCCCCCCCCCCAAAAAAAAGGAAAATACTTGCAAAAAGGAGAAGTCCTTAAACACATAACTTTTGATTAAAGAGAGAGGGATGGAGCAATGTCTGTTCAAGACGTAAAAACTATAAAAAGCTAGGCGTAAAGCATGGGGCAAACTTATGATAACCCTGTGATACTCAAGAACAAAGGAGGCTTTCTGCAAAAAATGACGAGCGAGAACATGCACAAAGAGCCTCAAACAAAAACAGAAACAACTATCCAATAATTTTCAGTCAGGTCATCTGGACAGTTTCTTTTTTTTTGCAGAAACGTTCAAACTATCAACGTTCAACTATCAAACACTGTGCAGATGCAGCACACAGAAGTGGTATAGTAGAATTTTAGTGTGCGGTCCCTTCACATTGCATTGTGGTGAGTTCTTTTCTGTCAGTTAGCTGCTGCCTCCTCCTCCCCTGTAAAATGAGAAGACAGTCTACTCTGACAGCCTTTCAGTTGTCATCAAGACCTATCATAACAAATCCACCAGTCTTTTCAAAGGCCTCTGATTTACAAATCGTCAGGAGGGTTTATTGTTTGTTGAGTCTGCCAGAGGAAATCTCCACAAGATTTGGCCTTACTTCTAATTTCATATTTACTTTGTACCCGCCTTCCTTCTTTTTTGCAAAGATAAGTCTGCAAAGGATCTAGTGATATGCATTCATTGTTTTAGTGCTATAGGCCTATAAAGTTTAGATCCTGGCAGTATCAAAAGCTCTTTTGCACCCACCTTTGCCTTCAGAGCTATGGCACATGTGTAATTAGTGTCTCCATACACTGTGCTCACCCATGCTGTGAGTTGGGCAGTTTGTCAAATCACTTTGGGTTGCACGCAGTGAACCAGAGCTAAACCTCCTCCTCTGTGGCTCACCCGGGGGTCCCACAGGTGTATCAGACCCCTGGCTCCTGTCTCCATGGTGGTCCTTCTTTGTCTTTTCTCATCTGCCCATTGCATCCTTCCACTTTCCTCTGTCGGTCTAAAGTTTGTGTGAAACGGGATATGTACAGAAACATGTCAAGTTGAGCAGTGAAACAATGACCAGTACCAACATTGATAAAGAAATATTTTTCTTGTGTTTTGGCAGAATATTTTGATTTTACAACTAACATTCATTTGTTATGTTGAATGATCATATTATTACTGTACCTTAACTGATTGGTTGAGCTTTTGGAATGCAACCAAATCAATATGTTTAGTAACAACAGATTAAATGTCTGATGAATGAAAAAAAAAAATGGGATCAGCAACTGCTTTAGGTCAAATAGTCCTGTACCTTTGCAGGTAGTTTTACAAATCAAATTTAGGGAGTTAATATACCGACTGGAGACAAGCTTCGCTGTGAGATTCAACAATTTAAAAAAATGAACATCAGTTCTGTCAGACCCACTACAGCAGTGAACATTCTGTCCATTGTTGTGCTTTAATGGTGTGGAACAGAGTGATGAGTAGACTGTTAGCTCCTGCTGGTGGATCAGCTCTGCATGCTTCATTACCTTTGTGTGATTGTGTAAATTTGTGTGCAAGTGTGGTAGTGTGTTGTTTTTGGTCCATTCACATACTTTCAACTCCTGCAATGGAGAGTGGCACTGTTTGTGTCCCTGGATTAAGTGTACATAAAGTTATCACTTACAGATGCATTGTTTTTTCCTTTAACTGAATTTGACATGGTGGAAGAACTAATATTTGACGTGTTTGGTCTGAAATTGCACCAGTGCTTTTTGATGGGTTTAATGCTTTTGTGCTCAGCATGAAGGGTGCTTGGACTGATTAGTCAAAGCTATTCAGATGAATTAGTTATAACTTTTGTTTATATTTGTGTGGCATTAATTGAGTTGGGGTAAGAAGGAAACAGTATAGATCAATTTCAATAAACTTCATTATCTATTCATTAGTTTAAAGTGGTCCTGGTTTTAATAACAGTGACTTTATCCAGAGTGAGTCTGTGCAGGATTGAGTTTGTGTCATCTTTTCACTCTAATCTCTGACATTGAGCTGCTAATGCAAAGTTCACTTTAAAAACAGCTTTATCGTACAGCTTATGCTCGTGTCCTCCTTCCACTCATGTTTCATGAAGCTTGTCCTCTCTGTCTGGCACAAACCTCCTGATGATGACGCAGAAAGAGCAGAGGAGAGAAAACTGGGTAGAACTGGAAGCAGAATTTGAAACAAGGAGTGTATTGTTTCACAACAAAAAAAAAACAACAGTAAGAATAAATAGTCTTTTTTTCTAAGTTACTGTACATGGGCTTAAAAATACTGTTTTCTGAAATTATGCTATTTTTGTTGTTGCAAAAAAGGAACAAAAAATACAGAAAGCATAATTGCAGCTACTCTTAGTTTATCTTGAACTAATGAAGTGCCCTGTGTGGACATATTCACACTTCCAGGGTCATTTGTATGGTTACTGAGAACACACAACGCTGAATTATTGTTGAAGCCAGACAACACCCTCACTAGATTACTGACCCTCTGAACTTCAAGAAAAGCATGTGGGCAGGATAGAGTTGAATAAAAACAGGAAACTAGTGTGTGGGACAGTCAAGGAGTGTTTGGATCTGTTCATTAGTACACACCATTTGGTCAAAACAGAAGTCCATGCTGAGGACTGAGGAGAGTGACGTTTTCTGTTCTGCTATCTGATTATTCAATTGAATGTGTGAGGAGTGCAGGCAGGAGCGGCAGCTTGTACACAGACATCAGAACTGCTGTGCACAAATGTAAGTGAGTGAGGCACACAGTTGCTTTCTGACCAACTTGCGATGCTCAGTGTCCGGTTGTCATAGTGACGGAGGGTAGCAAGAGGAGCTCGCTCATTGCGCCTTCTGATTGTGAGTGCGAGAGAGAGAGAGAGAGAGAGAGAGAGAGAGAGAGCCAGACAGAGGGTAGAAAGCAGCGACACAGAGTTGCGCAGCAGTGATGGAGAGACAGGCTTTTTGCTGCCATCAGTGTTTTCATCAGTAGACTTGTGCTGCTGTGTCGAGGGTTATTGGAGACATTTCGCCACTTCCTCTCTTTGTCTCACAACTTGGATTATCTGCCTGAATTCTCTGTTTGCATCTTGAATGGGAAGATGCTGATGCTCTGTGACACGTGTGCCAGGTGTGTGTGAGATGGGAATCTGCGTGTGATGATTTCTATGCTCACTTGGAGACTTGCAGTTTGACTCAATGCCTGGGACCTCTGCCAGGCTGAGGGACACATAGCAGGCTTGACCAAGGGCCCTACATGCCATGGTAAATAACTCTGATTACCAACTTAACTTGGAGTTAGCCTCTTGGAGTTAACCTGTGCATTCTCTTTAAGGATACAGTTTTGCTTTTAAATACTTTTTCAGCAGCAGGTTAGCAGTGCGTGCTAGGTAGTGACTCTGCCTTTCTATTTTGTCTAGTGTGAGAAGGGAAAGAAGCGTGATTATATGCATATATTTATTTCCATTCTCTTCAGGATGCAGTGTTTTACCTGATTGCGAGCATTGCTATCCTAATCTAGCTGAATGTGTGAGCTCTCGTCTTCTTCAGTCTGCCTATGCATGTGTTAGCGTGGTTATAACCACATGTACACATAACTGTTTTAGTGAGTTACTCACATGGGCACCAGGAGATGGTGTTTGGTACTCACCCCATATGTAGCGTGGAGTTAATAAGTGCAGTCTTCCGCACTGTCCTCCTCAGTGTTGCCCCCACTGTCCTCTGCTTCAGCTTCCTGCATGGTAAATGATAAAGATGCTGCAGATGCACTTCCTTGTCCTTGGTTGAGCCTCCGATTAGCTGTCTCCATCCACAGGTCAGCAGCTAGCATTGGGTCAAATGTCTTGGTGGTCTGCTTTGACAGGTGAATGTGCTTCAGGGATGAGAGACGAGCACGTGACAGACAAGATCTGTACACGGTTTTTATTATGTTGAGATGTGAGAATCCTCTCTCACAATCTGCATTGCTTAGAGGAAGTGTAAGAGACAGTTAACCACCTTGTTGATGTTGGAGTAAGCATCCGAGTTACTTGTATTTACTATTTGGACCAAGTCATACACAGCAGAGGATCCCAGGTGTTTTCCTGTCTACTTTAAGCGCATCCATTCTGTCACAGTGGTGTCTGTCAAGCTGCAAGGTAACCTCATATTTCTTGAGAATGCTGCAAACTGTTGTGTTTCCAAAACTGTGGAGCATTTCCTGAGGCCTTGTTGAAGGATCAAGTACTAAGAAATGATCGCATGACTTGATGGAGTTATATCTGATTTCAAACTCTTTAATTAACCCCATGAGTAAGTTTGTCTAGTCTGTGTCAGCATCAGCATTAGAAACACTATAGTGGCCTTCACCATCAAGCAGAAGTGTGAACTGTCCAGTCGACACCATTAGTTCATCCTCACATTCTCCAATGGTCAGCTTTTCCTTCTGAAACCTAATGGATGTGGTTTTCAAAATGTTGCCAATGTCAAGCATGTTTGACATAAAGCACTGAAAATGCTCTGTGCAGATATGCTGCAAGAAATTGTTATCACTAGTAACCAGTTGCAATTTAATGATAGCTAATAGTCTGATAAATTTAATAGTGTTCCATGCCTCCATGCAGATCATCTGATATTATGAAACTTACCTAGTTTCACAAAGGAGATCACATTTTCTTCACACAGCTTCTTCAGTGCAGCAGGTTTTTTTTTTTTGGTCCACCTTTTTGTAAATAAAACTGCAGCAGTTTGACCACAGAGCGATTAAATGTCTCACAGTTATCAACGTTGTGATCAGCTGATTTTGTGCAATTGTCCACATTCTCTGTGTGTGTGCGTGCAAATAGTAAATGGACTGTACTTATATAACACCTTTCTATGTTATCAAGATACTCAAAGCGTTTTACACTACAGTCTGTGTCCTCATACATTTACCCATTCATGCATCATTATATTTCTACAAAGATTAATCAGTGCTTTAGATCACATTCACCAATGGGACACACATCAAAGGCAATGAGGGGTTCAGTGTCTTGCCCAGGGACATTTCAGCGTGTGACTGCTGGTGGAATCAAACCCCCAATTCTCTCATTGGAGGATGACTGCTCTAACCACTCTGCCACAGCTGCTCAGTGCAGTGCACAGAATATGCACATAAGCTTCTCCAACTGCAGCAAGTTGATGGGGTTTTGGCTTAACACTGTTGTCAAGGCTTTGGTTCTTTTTTTGTGTACTTATGCTAATGGGTTAATCAAGCTTGCAGTCAATAATTAATCACCTGCAGAGAATGCAGTATTTGAAACAACATTCAACCAAAAGCCTTTTATGCTCCCTCAGACTTCTTTTTCTTGTTTTCAAATTTTATGGGAGGACAATAACTGGTTGCTTTGTAAATAATTGACAGTTTATGTGTGTTATTACATCTGACCTGCTTAACTTTGCACAGGTTGGATGTTTAAAAGAAGGTTTGGACAAATTTATCATTCTCATTTCCACTTTTGAGGGAAATATTTACAGATTTTTTTTGTCTTCCTTTTTTCCCCACATTTTTACTTTCCATCTCAAACATCTTGTCTCTGTTTTTACAGGAAGAATGCAAGCAGATTATGGCACGCCAGAAATCTAACAGCCAGTCAGACTCACACGATGATGAAGTTTCTCCTCCTCCACCAAATCCGGTCGTCAAGGCTCGCCGTCGCAGGGGAGGAGTCAGCGCCGAAGTGTATACTGAGGAGGATGCTGTCAGCTACGTACGGAAGGTCTGTTTATTCAGCAGCCAAAATTCTTCAAATACTGTCCTGTAGTTTCAGCATCAAGCAGTAATGATGGTTATTGTTTGTGCTGAAGAAAACTTCATGCATCAGTAAAAAGAGAACAATTAAAGCAACTCTGGATAGAGATGTTGCAAGTACACCATTGTGTGACATAATCAAGTTTAAAGAGGATTCATTTAAACCAAGAATTCAATAATATTTCATGTGTTAAAGCATCTGGTGACACACACTGCTAATTTAGAACTTGAACATGTTACTGTTTTCATGCTATGCTAGTACACTGCAAATACGCGTTAACAAGTCAAAGTGTTTTGGCCACTTAGGCGCAGTCTCAGAAATACAGCAACAATCTAGTGTAAAATAATTTTTTGTGTTGGGTGCTGTTGGTCAAGCAGCTTTGTCCTGCTGTAAACAATAAGTCATGACAAATATCTGCTTTGTGATGGAGTTTTTCTTCTTCAACCTTTATTTAGACAGGTAAATCCCATTGAGCCTCGAGGACTCATTTACAAGAGAGACCTGATTTCAACAAAGAATGATGAAAAACAATGGACAACAGCGACAACAATAGACAGTTATAAAAAGGCATACAGATTTTTTTTTTTAACAAATAGGATGGCTAAAAAAGAAAAATAACAAAAAACAGTATGTTAGTTACTTATATTGTCCTCTGCCGCTGTGTTTTTTTAATGTATATATAATATTTTTTACAAAAATTTTTGCGTATCCTTCCTGTTTTCCATACTACTGCCTATTTTGGCTAAACATCATTATATTTTAAAGGATGTGTATTGAAATTTCCTGCAATAGTTGTAAATTTGAAATGTTCTTTGATAACTTGAATCTAGCTAGGGGAAACACTTTAACTGTTGCCTCCATGACCTGACCACAGAAAAGTGGTTGAAGATGGATGGATTGATGCATAAATATACTCTTGTTAAAATGATAATACACCTTTTATATTTTCATATTTTCTTCATTTTAATCTTGCACACCCTCACATTGATCCAAGATGGCCGTGCTCAGCCGAGTCGCAGCTTCACAGGCTCCTGGTGAACTCAATCTTTTTTTGTTCCTGTCGTTTCTGTTTTAACTTTTTTGCGCCTACAATGCACATCCACAGTATGGGTATGACTGTGACACACTTGTGGAGTTTTCTGTGTCGCTACCTTGCCATTGTGGTTCAGTCCTTCCAACCTCAGGCTCAGGCCTGTCATGGCGGCTGTATCCATGATCCTCCATCTGCCTGCACGGACCGAACTCTACAGACCCGTTCAGTTCCGCGGGGAAATCTGGATGTTCTTCGTCTGCCGGACCCAGTTCTGGAGGGCTGTATGGGAGGGCAGCTGCTGCGGTCATTGTTACCATCAGGGTACTGACGGGACTTGCTAACTAGACCTGCTAACCTGCTAATGCTGCTAACAAGATCCTCCATCCGCCTGATCGGACCGAACTCTGCAGACCCCGCTTGGTTCCGCGGGGGAACCTTAGATGTTCTCTGTCTGCTGGACCCGGTTCTGGAGGGCAGTCTGGGAGGCAGCTGCTGTGGTTCTTATTATCATCATGCTGCTGAAGGGACCAACAGTACCATGGGGCCAATGGGACCATGTTGCTAAGAGAAACCTCATTGTCATCAGAACCACTCTGCCAACAGGACCATGCTGCTGTAGATTTATTTCTTTTTCACTTTTGGTGCCTTGTTTCTGTATTTTTCTTGCATGCTTTGAATGAATCCTAGTTTATGTTAGTTTAGTTGACGTTAGTGCTCGCATTAAGCATAAATTATAGCCAAACAGAACCTATGAGAATTGTGCTGCTGTTGTTCGGTGTATCGTTTTGCACTGTTAGTGACTGGCATATATCTTAGATCTTTTAGTGTACCGTTTGGTGTTCGTTTAGCGTATATCTTAGTTTATATCTCAGATCCTTATTTACTGTTTCTTTTTGCACTTTATATTTTTGCTATTGTTTGATGTAACTGGGACCCTGTGTACACAATTTCGTTCCACTACATGTACCACATGTGATGCAAATGACAATAAAGAATCTCTGACTCGCTCTGACTCTGACATTGACACACATACATTCCTGATGGTGTATCTTTACTGCAATAATTAAATTGTTATTCTCTAGACATGAATTGCTGGGTATTGACATGACAGCATGAACCCCATCACCACGTTGTAATTGCATGGCCACTGGAGCATACATTGTGTCAGGTGTGCACTTGCACGTGCATGCATTTGCATTTTTAAGACCGAGGTCTCTTAAACAATGCAGCCATGTGTTATTGCAAAAAGTGTCACTTCATCTCCTTTTATTATTTTGTCTATCCCTCATCATTGCATGGACTGACAGATATAAACATGCACAGCTGCATCAGTAGCATATTAAAACAAAATAACTGCACGTTGTTAGCTTACACAAAAACCTATCAGAGTTAACAACAAAGTCCATGCTCAATCTTTTTTTTGTTCCTGTCGTTTCCCATCAATCCATGCCACCAGAGTTAAGTTAATCAAAATCAAATTAGGCTATAAAAGTGCATTATTGCCTTAGTGTGACTCAGCATTCTATGCTTTTTAACCTTTGATGAGGTTAACATACAAACTCTCACACACAATCTGTGCTCAAATCTTCCTACTTTACTTTTATTGTAAGATACTGCTGTGAAAATTAACTGTGGTTTTAACACAACCAATTAACTAACCCTGTTCATCTGATTAAAATGTTGTGCACCTAAAAAATGGAGACAGCCATCAGTTTGGTTTTAAGACCGTTAATAATTAAACTTGCATGTATCACAGTAAGCTTCGTACTTTCAGAAATGTGGTTGGTTTTCATTTAAAATAATAATTATGGCAAATAAATAAATAACTGTTTCTAATTTAGCTAACTTTATGTTTTTGACGAGTACAGAGTTTACTAGGGACTGTGGTAGCTTAATGGTCAGTGTTGCGGTTACTTGAGGCTGCATATTTGAGCCCAGGTTCCGTGAAAGGCTATCCGGCGTAAAACAGTTGATAAATCTTTCATGCGAGTTCGCTAGAAGGGAACAGTCAAAAGAAAAGCAACAAAGACATTGACAAATAATTTGATCTACATCCTCTTACAAGTAATTCTAAACACAATGGACAAATCACCAAAGGACAAACTGTGAATTATAAGTAGGACAGTAAATGTTTTTTTTTGTACGCAGCTTACTGGTGTCCTGCCATTTAATAATCTCCTGGGTGATAGCATCGGAGCTGGGTTTTTCACAAGATTAGAAGGAGGCTGACTTAAAATCTCTCCCTCTTCAATTCAATTTCCAGGCCTGACCAGTCTATTTCTCTTTCTGACCACAGAGTAGCCACACTTATACTTCTATAGTCAGATAAAAATTCAGTACTTCCTAATTTATGTGTGATGTGGCTATGTGTGCATCTGCGTGCATATTGTGCACTGTGTGTGGTTGTCTTCATGTGGAGACATCTGTTGCCTTAACTTAATTACAGTCTAACTCCTCCTCTCTCCAAGAATGAGGCAGAGGTACACACAAACACACACACACTCACACACACAAGTTTGTCTTTCTGTCTTTACTGGGACTTTCCATTGACTTCCATTCATTTATCGTTCATTTCTATAACCTAACCCTGACCCTTACCCTACACCTAACCATTACCAGTTTCATTCAGCCTTTATTTATACAGGTTAGTCTCATTGAGCCTCAAGGACTCATTTACAAGAGACCTGTTTTTAACAAAGATTGATGACAACAGTAGACAACAATGACAACAGTAGACAATAATAAAAGAAAGTATACAAATTGAAAAGTAAATGGAAGAAAAAGAAATTAAAAAAGCTAAACAAAAACTGGTACATTGTAAGCGATGTAAAATACTAAAAACAGGAACATGTCTGCGTTGGTTTTTGCCAGGAACTTAGCAGATGTTTGAAGCCACTTAGAGAGGTCAAGTTCGAAAGGTTCAGGTCTTTTTTGCAAGGTGTTCCAGAATACAGGAGTGGAGTAGATACAGTACATACCTAACCCATCCTCAATTCACATCTTAGCCTTAAACCTAACCTCTAACCCACCAGTGACACTTGAACCTTATGAGGACTTGCCTTTGGTCCTCACAAAGAGCAGTTGGTCCTCACAATGTAGTATGTGTTCAAAAATGGTCCTCACAAAGTAATAGAAACGAGCACACACACTTTGCTCCTTTTGTCAGTCATTTAAAAGTAAAGGGTTTTTATGAACTTCTTTTCTTCTTTGTCTTTTTATTATTATTTGCCTTTTTTATGCTATGTTCAAATTAGTGTAAATTGTCTGCTATGATGTCTACTCATAAACACAGACTGCTTTGTTGTGGCTTTACATGTTGCCATTCCCCCTCCACAAACACACTGCAAAGTCTGAGGCATGAAAATGCATGTTTTATGAATGATTTCAGGGCTCTTGTGAATTTTTAAGGTCTGTGAGACTTTTTAGTGTTATCCTTGAACAGATGGGCATTCCCAAAAATATACAGATGCACGTGTGGGATGTTTCTTTCAGGGTTTGCCAATACTCTGCTCTATAATTACTCAATTTGGGCTGCTTTGAAGTCAGTCGTATTATGCGTTTGTGTTGCTTTGATTTATGTGTCCACCTGCTCTTTGTTGTAGCTGTCCAGTTTACTGTAATTACTTCTTTGTCTACACAGGTGATTCCTAAAGACTACAAGACCATGACTGCCTTGGCTAAAGCCATTTCTAAGAATGTGCTGTTTGCTCACCTGGACGACAACGAAAGAAGGTACAAAGCCCTGAGATAATGAATAATAAAGAAGTCCCTTGTTTATCGTGGGGGATCAGAACTCTGAAGCCCCGCGATTAGTGGAAAAACGGCGAAGTAGGAATAGTAGTACAGTAGTAATAGTAAGTAGTAGTTTATTTTACTATGTATATATATATATTTTTTTTTGTTTGTTTGTTTTGTTTATATATATATGTATATATATGTATATATATATATGTGTATGTATATATATGTATACATATACATATATATACATCAACAGAGGATGCAATCTCCTCTGTGGTCCACACTGCACTCAACC